GAAGTCGTCGTAGAGCACCCGGTGCAGATCAACCACGAGCACCACATCCAGCCGGTGATCCACGAGCGGGTGCACCACATCCAGCCGGTGATCAAGACGGAGGTGACGACCGAGCAGCGGGTGATCAACCAGGAGCACACCGTCATGCTCCCGCCCATCATCGAACCCACCGCCACCGTCGCGGCCCAGGCTGGCGGGCTTCACTACGCGAAGCCGCTGACTCAAATTCCAGTCGTCGGCCGCGCCCTGGCAACGGAGGAGCGACTGATGGGCCACGGCCACCGCGGGACCACGCCGGCGATGAGGGACGTGCCGCTGGCGGCGCGGGAGGGCGCGCTGGGCACGACGGCGGCGACGACGGTGCCGCACAAGCCGACGATGGGCCAGAGGCTGAAGGGCGCCGTGAAGCAGCTGCAGGGCTCGATCACGGGCAACGAGCTCAAGAAGGAGGAGGGCAAGCTCATCTCCGAGGGCGTCGACCCCGCCACGGCCAGGGCCGCCACCACCTCCACCACCGCCCCCATCCTCTAGTGTAATGACATTTACTTGCGTGTAGGGCCAGCAATACAACAGTTTTTCTTTCCTTTTTTTTTTTTTTTTTTTGTTTGTGTACACTACCTTCACTTCCAGGATGTTTATTGGCGAAGAAAAGCCGTGGCCGATTCCACTCCCTGTGGTTGTGACGACGGAGCTGTTGCCGTAGGAGTCGTTGCTTTGTCCGTGGGCCGAGTCTGGAACAGGAAGATTGGCCACACGACTCTGCCCTCGCTTCACAAGAATCCTACAACGGACCTCCGACCCGCAACTGTGGAGGTTGATGGGCGGGAGTAAGTGCATGTGGGCAGGACTGGAAGTTGGCCCCCAGACGCCATCGGTGCTGTGGTACATACGCCAACATCTTTACCGTTGGGCCATGTGGTCACCTGGACAACACAAAACACTACCAAAGACATGGCTTTACAGCCCAAGCGCGCAGAGGAGATACTGCAACTGCCTGAGCTGTTCGACTTAAGTATGCAGTGGTCACGCTTACAGCGTCGCTGATAGCATTAGCCCACGCGTGGTGAACGACGCAGAGCCGGGTCTCGAGGCAGGAAGGGCTGAATGCCTGGACACTGGGTGGCCTACGACACCGCGCTCACCGAGGCGGGTTTGTTCCATCCCTCCGATGGGATGTGTGTTCCGCTCCTTGGCCGCCAAAGAACCGAGCCTGCTCGGCCCCGACAAGCCGGAGCTCCCTCCGCTGCACGCCCGCCCTGGCCAGCCTCGTCAAGGCGTGCCCCGAACTCGCTCCGGAGCTGGTCGACGCCCTCGCCCTCAGCCTGTAACCCCGCAGGCCATGGACCACACGTAAAAACACATTTTACACACCCACACCACTTGTTTGTTACGAGGTAGTAGAAGGGGCATTTTATATCATCAACAACCCGAAACGTGCTCCGCCCATACCAGTCCGACCACCTGACCCACCACCACGACTACTGCGGGTTGGTGAAGAAGCTCATCTTGGAGGGGGGCACCAGGGAGGCCGGAAGCATCTCGAACGGAATCGGATTCTCGGGCGACTTCTTCGCAATCTCGCACAGCCTGTGCAGCGCACACACGGCCACAGCCACAGCCACGCGTGAGTGTCGTGCGCACACGCACCACCGCTCACACACACATACACACACGCCGCACAGCGCGCACACGAAAGAGATGGGAGAAGGGCCGGACGGTACCGCAGGGCGATGGCGAACTCGTCGAGGTCGAGCTTGCCGTCCTTGTCGATGTCGGACAGGGTCCACACCTTGCGCAGCACGCCCGTGGCCACGCCCGTCTCGACCAGCGCCGTCTTGACCTGCGCGCCGCTGAGCTTGCCAGCCTGTGGGTTGAGCATGAGGAACTGGCGCTCGTAGGCCGCCTTCTCCCGCTCGCGGATCACGTAGTCCTCGTCCTCGGGCTCGTCCTCGAACGGGTTGTCGTCGCCGCCGGCGCCGCCGAACGGATTGGACTGCTGTCGCTGAAGTGGCGGCGCTGGCTCCTCCTTCTTCGGCGGCGAGATCATTGCCATCAACCGAGGAATGTCGATACCTGTGCGTGCGTGCGTGCGTGCGTGTCATGTGCGTGAGTGCGGGACCAACAGAAAGAATGAAAAACAGAGAAAAAGAAGTCTTAGGTACGGACCCAGAACATCGTCGATGCGGGAGACCAGCTTCTCGTCGAGCTTGGCGAAGGTGTCAAAATCGTGGTCCTTAAGCGTCTCCTTGAACCGCTCCAGGTCGGGGAAATCGCCCGGCGGCAGCCGGTGTGTCCTCTTCACCTCCCTGGCGCAGCCGAACAAACACGCAACGCGGTGAGATCGAGAGATCGACCTCTGCGGGTTCACCAACAACCCACGACACGCACACGACGCACAGTCTGGGAAGGTGCGCGCGCACCGATACACGTTGAGCATGTCCTTAATGAGTTCGTCCTTCTTTGCCTTGCTGCCCCACAGCGCCGGCATTTGTTTCTTGATGTGCCCGATCAGATAGGCATGCACCTTCACCAGCCGAGCTCTGCGCATGCACACGCGAATAGACGACACACGACAAAGTGGTGAGTAAAGCTGTGTGTGTGTGTGTGTGTGTTCAGCCTGGAGTGGCTAAGGTACCGCTTGACGAGCTCGTTGACCTTGCGCATGGCGGAGTTGGTGGGGAGGGACATGAGGTCCTTGAGCAGGTCGGCCTGCTCAGCGTCGAACAGTTTGGCGTTGTCGCTGATGTGGTACGGCTCGTTCCAGAAAGAACCTGTCGTGGCGGGGGAGTAACTTGATCAGTTAACGATCGACACACACGACACACACGACACACACGACACACACGACACACACGACACACCACACGACGACACGAGACGTACCGATGTAGACGCGCATTACCTCGGGCGTTTTGACGACCTTGCCGAGCGACCACATCATGGCGCCGTACACCCGCATGAGCTGCTGGTGGGACACCATGTCGGCCTTGTTGAGCACAACCCTGATCTTGTCGTCGTTGCCCTTCAAGCCTTCGATCGCTCTCTGCACGACACACAGCACACGCGACACACACGACACACACGACACAGGGTCAGTCAAGGCAATCCAACCCTTTGGGAAGAGGCTTGTTTGCGTACTTTGAATTCGTCGGAGATATCGAGTTTGTGGGCGTCGAAGAGGAGGAGGATGAGGTCGGCCCGCTCCGCGAACCACTCGATCACGCTCACGAAGTCGTAGCTGCGCCCGATCCGCTGCTTCTCGCCCGAGAGCACGCCCGGGGTGTCCACGAACCTGCGCGCGCGTGAACCGACGCGATGCATTCAGTGAATGTGCGACGACAACAGAAGAGGTGAAGGCGGTGGTGGGCCGAAGGTGGTGTTGGTGGGTGGGTGTAGCACAGCACGTACGAGATGTACTGGAGGAGAGGAGCGGGCGACTCTGCGGCTTCAAATTTGCTGAGGAAGGAGGCGCCGTAGCGGTTGAGCGCGTGGAAGGGCTTGTCGGCGTCGACGGCCACTGCATTACCGGGCACCACCCGCTCGGCGTTACCGTGCATCACCGCCACGAACCTGCAACACACCATGCCACACACGAGGTGTGTGAGATCTTTTAATCCCATAAATATGAATAAATAAATAAAAATCGCAAAAATACGCAAGTAGAGGATGGGCTGTGCATCAATCAAAAATCATGATGGACGAACCTGTCGGTGGTGGGCTCGGGACCAATGCGGGAGCCAGGGAAAGGCTGGTCGAGCATGAACTCGATGAAGGAGGTCTTGCCCGTGGAATACTGACCGAGGAGAAGCACCAAGGGCTTGGCCTCGAAATCGGTGTCGCGGAGGAAGGGCGAATGGAACTCGTCGAACTTGTACTTCATCTCCACGGGCAGGATCTTTTCCTTGTAGATCTTCTTCAGCCCAGCGACTACTTGGGGATAGAGATTGGGCTCCCCCTCGGGAATCTTGTCCAGCCTGCGCCTCGCCTGGTGCTCGCCGCTGTGATCCATCTCTAGCTAGCTTCCTGATTGGATGCACTCGCAGCTAGGCTTTGAAAGGATGGCGCAATCTCTGATTGATGAGAGTCGAACACCACTTCTGGCCCTGCCCACGTGTCAGATGAAGGAAATCCCAAAAGAAAAAAATAATCTACAGCCACCTTAAATAATCCGCGTATTTTCTTTTTTGACGCAGATCGCCACTCCTCCGGCTTTCATCCTTGTTCTGAGATCGAGCGCGCTTGAGCTACGAATTCCGATTTCATTCGTGCGCATACATAAACAAATGGAGGACGACACATTTGAGCTTGAGGCCCCCACCGTCGAGCCTGGTTATGACGAGGAAGGTGATGAGGCGTTCGAGGATGATGAGGCCTACACCGAGGAGGAAGCTGGCGCCCCCGCCCCTCATGTGCGCGCCGTGCCTGAGCCCGTGCGCAAGTTCGTCGTGCTCTTCCACAAGTACTTCATCCAGAAGAACGTGGACAAGATCACCGGCATCTACCACTACACCTTCAGCAAGCTCACTGACAGGTAGCGCCCAATTTCGCGATTTTTGTTGATGCAGATCTTAATGTCGTTCTCCATCAACCATTCAGGTTCTTCAAGGATTCTACTTGGCCCTCCGAGGAGACCATCGCTCCCCTTGTCAACAATGGTACGCAATTTCTGGTGATTGTTGCGCCAATTTTCGACAGTACCCTTTCTAACAGTTGCTTCTAATGTCGCGGCACACTCTCAGACAAGGTGTTCCTCCTCATGTACAAGGGTAAGTCATCGTGCCGTTCTTTTTTTCTTTTGTAATCTCCTCATTTTTCGAGATTCTTACATCTGATCTCCTCGGCAGAACTCTACTTCCGTCACATCTACTCCAAGCGAGAGCAGCCTTCGCTCAACGCTCGCTTCGAGTCGTGGCACAACTACCGCCAGCTGTTCGACTACGTCCTCGGTACACGCCTCCTCCCGCTCTCTAGCTCCGTCTGGCCCCGAGCGAAGCGACACGACACCACCATCACGAGTCCTTACGCCCTACATGTCGCGATGACGTACAGCGCTGGAGGACGAGGCCGAGCTGGGCCTGCCCCTGCAGTGGCTGTGGGATATGGTGGACGAGTTCCTCTTCCAGTTCCAGTCCTACTCCCAGAACCGCTGCAAGCTCGCCAACAAGTCTGCCAACGACCTCGCGCTCTTCAAGGAGCACCCCGACGTCTGGAGCGTGACTAGCGTGCGTCTTTACATCTTGAGCTCAAACATTTCTCTCTACTCGCCACCTCTTTCTCTCTCTCTTTCTCTCGAGCACATGCTGACCATGATGCCTTCTACGTGCAGGTGGTCACCTACCTCGAGGCGCTGTCGACCAAGGGCAAGGTGGTGGAGCTGCTCGCGGCACAGAACGCCGACAGCAAGCCGCCGCAGGCGCAGCAGTACACGCTGGGCCAGGCCCTGGGCTACTTCGCCCTCGTCGGTCTGTCGCGCGTGCACTGCCTGCTGGGCGACTACCACAGCGCCCTGCGCGCCCTGGAGCCCATCGACCTCACCCGCCGCGGCCTCTACACGCGCGTCACGGCCTGCCACGTGTCGCTCTACTACTACCTCGCCTTCGCCTACCTCATGACCAGGCGCTACGCCCCCGCCGTGCAGGTGGTGGGCTCCATCCTCACCTACATGACCCGCACCAAGCAGTACCACACCCGCTCGTACCAGTACGATCAGATGATGAAGAAGAACGAGCAGCTCTACTACCTGCTCGCCCTCGCCGGCGCCCTGGCCCCGCAGGGCACCGGCCCGCTCGGCAACGACACCGTCGAGCAGGCCCTCCACGAGAAGTGCGGCGACAAGCTCATCCGCATCAACCGTGGCGAGCTCGCTGCCTACGAGGACATGTTCAACAAGGCGTGCCCCAAGTTCATCCACCCGTCGCCGCCCAGCCCCGACGCTGCGCCCAACGCCTCGGCCGCCCAGACCGACGAGGCCGCCGCCGCCTCGCTGCCCCACGACTACCACCAGGAGCCGCGCAGGCTGCAGGCCCGCGTGTTCATGCAGGAGGTCGAGGAGCAGGCCCCGCTCGGCACGCTGCGGTCGTTCCTGCGGCTGTACACGACCATCTCCATCCCCAAGCTGGCTGGCTTCCTCGATGCCGACGTGGCGACCGTGCGGGCGCAGCTCATGTGCTACAAGCACAAGACCGCGCACGCGCCCCACCTCGGCCCGCGTCTCCCCGACTCAGCCACGCCCCACGACGTCACGTTCCACATCCAGGGCGACATGGTCCACGTCGTCGATGCCAAGCAAGCGCGTCGCTACACCGACTACTTCCTCCGCCACATCCACAAGTTTGACTCCATCCACTCGCGTCTCCTCACCCACCAGCAGCAGTAAGCAAGCGTCGTGCCAGGCACCTACACGTTCGGTCGGCTCGGTCGTGTAGAACAAGCGCAGAACGAGAAAAGAAAATTCTAATTTTTACAAATCAAAACACAAAATCTATTTTTTCCCCTTTCTTTTGCATAAATCAGATGGCTGAGTCACAGGACAAGCGAGTAGAAATGGAGGAGGAAGAGGATGACCCCTACATGATGGGCACAACGGTGGTTACAGACGGGCTGGAGGATGAGGACGAGGAGGAGGTGCAGGAGGACGTGGCAGACGATGAGGAGGATTCATCGTCTGACGATTCGGATTCTGAGGGCGAGATTGGCGAGGAGGAGCTCGCCTCCTACCGCGCGCGGGTGGAGAGCAACCCGCAGCAGTACGATGCCCATGTGCAGCTTGTTGCCGCCCTGCGCTCCCTCGACGGGCAGGAAGTAGCGCTACACCAAGCCAGGTACGTACACGCCCAAATAAAAGAATAAATAAATAAGACGTAAATACTGATGGCTACTTGTTGGTGTGCGTTGGCAGGGAGAAGATGGCCTCCATCTTCCCGTTGCCCGAAGGTGCGTGCAGCCTCGCCTGGTACTAAGCTGAGTCTTGCTCTGCAAAGTTTTTTGACGCTTATTTGTGTGCGCGCTGGCTTTGCAGACGAGTGGCTCGAGTGGCTGGGCGACGAGGAGAGGCATGCCGGCGACGACCCGGTGGCCAAGATGCAGGTCCTCAGCCTCTACGACCAGGCCGTCCAGGACTACCGCTGTACGTCTCGCGCCGGCACCCAGGGTGTCTTTACAAAGTGCCTTGCCCAGTCTGATCGTGTGTGTGTGTGTGCGTGCGTGCGTGTTGTATGCAGCGGTGGCCGTGTGGGAAAGGTATGTGCGGTTTGCGGAAAGCTTCTACGGAGAAGATCTGGCGGCAGTGCGCGGGGTCTACGAGGACGCCCTCACGTCTGTGGGCCTGCACGTGGCCGAGGGTGCCCGCGTGTGGAACGCCTATCGCGAGTTCGAGCACAAGCGCGCCGCCGCCGACGTGGAGCGCACGCGCAAGCTCTTCGTACGACAGCTGAGCGTGCCCCTCGTGGGCATGGACGACACGCTCCAGGCCTACCTCGCCTGGGAGTCCACCCACGGCGGTGACCCTGCCAACGGGCGGCGCGCGCACGAAACCGCTGCGGCTCGCCTCCAGGAGTACCTCCCCTACGAGCAGCAGGTCGCCGGCCCGTGGTCAGGTACCCAGTATCACTTCTCTTCCTGAGCGCACACTTGGCTGACCACACACACACACTCACACACACACACACACACACTCACACTCACACTCACACCACACATACACAAATGACAGTCAGCAATCCGGACTATACGAAACTGGAGGCGTGGAAGAGCTACGTGCAGTTCGAGGAGCAGAAGAACGAGCCGGCGCGTGTGCAAATGGTCTACGAGCGCGTCCTCCAGCGCTACTGCCTCGTGCCCGATCTCTGGATCTCCTACGTGACCTACCTCGTACGTCTTCCTTCCGACTCCCGTGTAAGCTGCTCGAGAGGTGGTTAAGAGAGAGAGAGAGAGTATGCTGGCCGAGTCTTAGCGATGTCAATCGGACAACAAACAGGACCGTGTGTTGAAAGGCGTTCACGACGTGGTGCTCTCCGTGTACAAGCGGGCCGTACGCAACTACCCCTGGTCATCGCAGCTTTGGGCTAACTACGTTCGCGCGCTGGTACGCAGCCATCTCCTCCTCCCCCCTTCTTCAGCCATTCTACCACGAGTCCAACCTTCTTCTTCATTCTCTCTTCCTCTCAACCCTAAGGAGCGCGCATCTCGGTCGGAGCAAGAAGCTACAGGTATGTTGCCTACGCGTTGGAAGTGTTGGCTAAACAAACACCGTACTCGCTTGCAGCCTAATGCGACCCTTTATTACAGCTGTGTTTGAAAAGAGCCTGCAGGCGGGGATGGGCGCGGCGGCGGACTTTGTTCACGTGTTCCAGACCTTTGCCGACTTCCAGCGGCGCCAACTGCCTCCCGCGAGTACCCACTGCTCCTCCCTCCCCTTCAAGCGTACTGTGGATCTGACGCCGTCACCCTCTCCCGCCTACTTGCTTCATGTGACAGGCGAGATTAAGGGCAACACCGAACAGAGCGAGGCGAAGGGCGCCCCGATTCGCCACACGCTGCAGCGAGCCGTCGACACTCTCACCACATGTGCGTATCTTCTCTAGGATTCCCTCAAACCCGTTACACATGCGTCCGGCGCTGATCTTGCCCTTGCTTTCACCGCACCACCGCCATCATCAGACTTCCCCGACAGTGCGTGGATTGCCGAGCTGAGGATGTACTGGGGCACCCTGGAGGCCCGCGTGTTCGGTGACGCCGAGAAGGCCGTCGCCCAGTGGGAGGAGGTCATGCAGGTCCACGGCGCCGACTCGGACCGATGGCGCCAGTACGCCGATTGCCTGTGGGACGCGCTCGGCCCCGCCGGCATCGAGCGCGTGCGGGCGGTCTACAAGCGCGCCGCCAACTGCCTCACCCACAGCGCGTCGGCCACCGCGCTCTTCAACGCGTGGCTCGGCTTCGAGCGCATCTACGGCGACCTGGCCGGATTCGACGAGGCCCAGCGCCGACAGACCACCAAGCTCACCGCGCTCGTGACCCGCGAGCAGCAGCAGTACGAGCAGCAGGAGGACTACGCCACGACCCAGCGCACGGCGCGGAAGGAGCGCCAGCCGGCCAAGGGAAAGGCCAACAAGGCCAAGGCCACCAACAAGCGGGAGGCCCCCGCCGCGCTCCCGGCCAAGCCGGCCAAGCGACGACGAGGTACGGATCCCGCGCCCGTGATTGCCAACCTGGTTGCACGCTGCTCTTGGTGTCGACAACGGTTTGTCCCACACCTCACATCTCACCACCCAGGCGAGGAGCCAGCGCCCGAAGCCGCCGCTACGGGGGAGGCCAAGTCTGACATGGATGTGGTGGCGGAGAGCGAGAAGAGCGGGTCGGCCGAGCGGTCGGATGAGGCAGAAGCAAAGGCCAAGCCGAGCGAGACCGCCAAGCCGAGCGAAGTTGAAACCGACGGCACGAGCGCCCAGGAGCGCACAGTGCGGGGCGCCGGCCTCCCTTTCAGCATGGACGAAGCCGCAGTGCGAAAGGCCTTTGAAGTGGTACGGAGCACACCACACCGCTGCATACTCACAAAGAACGATACGCGCGTGTCTCTCTGCTTCCGGCTAACGCCACACACACACACACACACACACACACACAACTATATCGCCTCCAGTGCGGACCGGTGTCCGATGTGCGGATAGTGCGAGGCAAGGAGGGCCAGTCCAAGGGCTTGGTCTTCGTCGAGTACGCCACCGTCGCGGGCGCACAGGCCGCCAGCGCCCACCAGTGGCCGGAGACCGACCAGCGAGTCTGGAGAGTGCAGCTGGCCTCCGCGCCCAGGGTTCGTGCCTCCCCAATCCCATCAGCACATGTCGGCAACCAGCTCGCTAACACACACACACGACACACACAACACACGACACACAATGTACTTACAGCACACGTTGCCCAAGACCGAGAAAAAGCGCCAATACGACGACGTGTTGACGATATTCGCGTCCAACCTGGCCTTCGAGATGACCGAGGACGACATCCGCGAGGTGTTCGGGGCGATGGGTCCGATCAAGAGCGTGCGGCTCATCCGGGACAGGTCCCAGAGATCCAAGGGCTTCGCCTACATCCAGTACCACGACCCCGAGGTCCTGCTGCGCGCCCTCGCTCTCAATCAGACCACCGTGCGGGGCCGCATCATCAACGTCGTCCGCTCTCGCCCTCCCGCCAAGACCGCAACGCCTCCGCCCTCGTACGCCTCCCACCAAAGCCCTGGCCTCGCAATCGCGCCCCATCTACTGACTGTGGTGTGGTTCCTTGGGCTGGTGGCGCCGCACACGCAGCCCCGTGTCGATGAAGCCGCCGACCGCGCTCATGCCCCGCGCAGTCAAGAGGCCATCATCAGCCGCCGCCGCACCGCGCCAGGCGTCCACGTCGACGCCCACGATGGCGGCCACCGCCACCGCCACCACTACATCGGCAGCGACCGGGGCCGGCGGTGGTGCGGCCAAGTCCAACGCCCACTTCCGTGCCCTCCTCACCAAGGGCAAGTCCCGCCCCTCGTAGAGGACCCGTGACGACCCGTCGCTGGGTGTGTCCCATTCAGAGTCGACACAGAAATGCCACAAATAAAAATACTAATTTAAACCCCGAAAGTCCGCGACGAACTCCATTTGGAGGTAGAGGACGCCTACTTAGACTCTTGTCTTTGGCCACCAGCCTACGCGCACATCCTTGTCGTTTTAACGAGCTTGCAACAGTTGAAAGGAAAGGATGCAGAGCGCAGTCAACACAGTGAAGCGAGTGGTGTGTGTGGGCGCCGGCTACGTGGGTGGCTCGACGATGCCCATTATCGCCTCGCATGCTCCCGATCTGACGGTCACGATCGTGGACATTGACGAGAAGCGTATCAACGAATGGAATTCGGGCAACGCGCTGCCTATCTACGAGCCCGGCCTCGAGGAGATCGTGCGAGCCCACATCAACAAGAACCTCTTCTTCACCACGCGCGATCTGCCCAAGGCGATCAAGGAAGCGGATGTCATCTTCATCGCTGTGAACACTGGAACCAAGGAGTACGGCCATGGCGCTGGAAGCGCCTACGATCTCACGTCGTGGGAGGCCGTCTCGCGCTCCATCGCCAAGTACGCCACAGAGGAGCGTTTCTACGTGATTGTCGAGAAGTCTACCGTGCCCGTGCGCACCGCTGAGCAGGTCCGTCGCATCCTTGACGCCAGCAAGGCTCCCGGTACACTTCATTCATCTCTCCTTTTCACATCTTCTACATCTGCTCGCCATTACTGCTTCTACACAATTTTCCTTTTTCTACTTTGAATTGCATTCGATTCCTCTTCCTCTCCACATGGTGCTGACCCCCAAGCCGACAATGGTGTCGTGTGGATGTGGTGAAGGCGTGTCCTTCGAGGTGGTGTCCAACCCCGAGTTCCTTGCCGAGGGTTCGGCCGTGCGCAACCTCGAGGAGCCCGACCGTGTCCTCATCGGCGGCCTTGAGACCGACGAGGGCAAGCGGTGCGTTCACCCGACACACAACGCAACACGCAACACGACACACGATGCACAACAACACAACACGACACGCGCGGCTGCGTCTATTTGGTTGGCTGACTTTTGTCGAATCTCGATGTCGTTGCTCTTGTGTGGCACACGCAGTGCAACGGAGATGGTGGCTGAGATCTACGCCCACTGGATCGACAGGAGCCGCATCATCACCACCAACCTCTGGTCGTCGGAGCTGGCCAAGCTCGCCGCCAACGCCTTCCTCGCCCAGCGTCTCTCCACCGTACGGCCACTCTTCCGCCCTGTTTGTGTCGTGCGTGTGTGTGTCGTGCATGCGTGTGCGGTCTCGGCGTTGCTGATCTACTCAACTACTCAACAACTGGCCTTCAGGTGAACGCTTTGTCGGCGGTGTGCGAGGCGACCGGCGCCAAGATCGACGAGGTCACGCGCGTTGTGGGTACCGACACCCGTATCGGCTCCACCTTCCTCAAGACCTCCGTCGGTTGGGGCGGCTCCTGCTTCAAGAAGGACATCAACGGCCTCGTCTACCTCGTTCGTCTCCCGCCACACACGAC